TTCGCTTAGATTGTTGGATTGCATCTTCCTGAAATTAAGAGTACAACGATTCTTATTCCTCTATAATCTCTTCATAAAATTTCAAGAAACTATCAAGTTGTAAATAGATGAAAAAAGAAAGAGCAAGAAATTAATTTTAGAATCAAAACAACTATCTTAACTTCGATTCGCTTAGATTGTTGGATTTTAGATAGTATCAGGAAATAAATATGATATTTATGAAATGGATTAAGTGGTTGAGTGTCAGCACGTTAGATAAGACAATAATACGTAACTAATTATACCACTATTTTTTTCAGGTCGCTTCGAGAAGCATCAGTTAGTTCTAAATAGTTGGAAAGATTAAGCAATTTGCTCGAACGATAAGTATTGACACCGATAACCCGATAGAAGAGAAAACATCTCGTTCGATATATCAAAACATTCCTCGCTCGATTGCGAAATCCTGCATTAAACGGGATCCCATTAAGTCGAGCGTGTATTATGTCACGTTTTTCCTTTCACTTCTTCCTTGCCTGATGATAATTCACGTTCTGATTTACATGCGATCAATCAATGTGCAATGTGCATGTGTAATTGTTGAAAAATTTATTCTGACCTCTTGTTTTTTATTTTGATCAGGATTGGTCAAGGTGGAACGTAATTGGCCGAAGAAAAAAGTAAATTAGCGTGTAATATTATTCCAAAAGCCAGTTATTTAACAAGATCAGTAAGAAAACGTGGTGACCCAATTTAACAAGAAACACGCGAAGTTGTAAAAAAATTCCTCGCAAGATTCTATGAAAATGTTACGTCCGATTATTTAAACGTATAATAAAAAGAAAATTTATCACGGTGCATATGCAGTTTATAGATTGTGAGTAGTAGCTTTATATTCTATATGTACAAAATGTGAGTAGATTTGAGAATTATTTTTCTGCTAGAGATTCAGTATAAAGTAATTTTTTAACAACAATTTCTCGAAACTTTTCCAAATGTATTCTCACTTCAATGTTGCTGCCTTGTTAATCAATCTATCTCCACTTTTCCACCTTTTTATCACGAGACAAAATTTCTAATATCAAATCTCAACTAATTGATTAATCTTTTACTATAATTATCAGTCAACTTACCACTGGGACACCTGAATTCGTCGAATTGACACTTCCATTCCTCGCAGTTCTTCTCGTCGCTCCCATCATCGCAGTCGACGATTTTATTGCACACCAGGTCTCGTTTCAGGCATTGCCCACTAGCACATTTGAAATTTCCTGGACAACCTTCGCAGTTCAGCTCGTCCGATCCGTCCGAGCAATCGTTCTCAGAGTCGCATTTGGCAGACAGTTTCACGCAATACGCGCCATCCCTGGACGTTCCATTCACGCATTGGAATTGTCCAGCAGCGCACTTGGAAAACACGGCGTTCGAAGGTAGATTCAGGAACGAAACGTCTATGTGGCTGGTTGCTTCCACGGTTACAGTTTCAGGTAATTTGGTTTGCATCAATGAAACGTCAACAGTTGTGCTCGAAGGAATGGGCGATTGGTTTGTAGGGAAGGTGGACGAATCCGTTTCGTTTATTTTTTCGTCGTCTAATGTCGTCGCTTGTTCTGGCTCCATGGTCGTATGATCTTCGTTAGACGATTCGTTTGTTATCGATGGATGTTCCGTTGCAACGTCTGATCGATGGAAATGATTCAAGTTTCGAAGAGGCACGAAAGGTTCTGTAACAAATTCTGGCTCTATGATCTTCTCTGAAACGGGTATGAAACTGGGATACTTCTTTGCTGCGTCTGGCACTGTTATGCTGGTTTTACCACCGAGACTTTCATTTGCTACAGAGGATCGAACTTCCGTTTGATTTGATCCACTGGTAGTCTCAATGATTTTCAATTTTGGTACAGAGTTTTCTTCTTTGCCAGTGGTGATTGCCTCCTCTTTGATCTCCCTCACCGTTTGTGACGTTTCAGTAGACGATAATTCTGGTATATCCGTTAACACGTTCTCGCCCTCGTTCTCCTCCAAATTCAATTCTTTTTCTTTCTTGTACTTGTACTTATCAATAACCTTCTTGTCGGTTGATTTCTTCTTCACTTCTAAACTCTTTTCTAATGGGATCACTTTTAAATCTTCCTCCGTTAGGTCCTCCATATTCAAGTTAGCCTTGGGCGTGGTCATGACAAAATGCGTCCTGTAGTCGAATCTTACTGGTACAGTGTCATCTTCTAATATCTCAATCACAGGTTTAACATTCTCTGTTGTAATGGAGGTCTCGGACATTTTCTGCGATTCTGTCGTGGTCGCAGTTCCATTGTTGGACGTCGAAGGAGAAGGTTCGAGCGTTGAACTTTCTGTCACATTCTCCTTCGTACTTTCCTCGACGCTCATTGTCGTCGGCGCACTCGTACTTTCCTCACTTGTGTTATCCAACATTGTAACACTTAACGCGTTATCATTACTTTTACCCTCGTTTTCCACCGCACTGGCCATCGAATCATCAGCAGTATCGTTCTGACTGTTCACTTGTCGTTCTGATGAATTAATTATTCGAGTTTCATTATCATTCGTATCAAGCATTTCCTTTCGTTCCACGCTCTCAGAAGACACGTTTTCCAAGTTGCCAGTTTTCGTTTCGATATCTGACCTCATGGTGGAGGTGGTCAGCAGCACGTCGTTTTCAGTAGTCTGCAATTCTTCTGGCAATATTGGTATCTGGGCAGTAGTTTTCGTCTCCATCGACATCACGTGAGTAGTTGGTACCTGAACTGTCGTTCCATCCTCCCCATTTTGGTGTTCCGTGCCGTTGTCCCTTCGAGGATTCTCCTCGGTTACAGTGGTGCTCTCCACTTTCTCGGTCGTCGACATCTCTTGCTGTATTTCCAACGGTAGCACGGGTATCTGAGTGGTCAGCCTGGCATCCTCTGGATGCTTGTCAGGGATATTTCCAATCGTGGCCAACGCGTCTTCGGTGTCGTTCGTCGTCGTTACGTTCGTTCCATCGTTTACACGAGATTCATCCGCGCTAAAGGATTTTCCATCGCTATTCATTAACTCATTAGATCCGTCCTTAATTCTCTTTGACACTTCTGTGTCGTCCTGCTGATACCCTTTGCTCAAACTGTCATCGGTAATGTCGTTATACTGATCCTCCACAGCATTCTCTTCTGGCTTTTCCGAAGACGTTTGAATTGTAACGTTATCTTTCGATTTCTCGTTCTCTTCTTCCGCGATAACTGGGCCAGCTTCCGTAATTTCTGATTTATCTTTACTCGAATCGTATTTCACGGTAGTTTCAATCTCCTTGAACTGTTCCTCTAACGGCACCACTTTCAACGCTTCTTCATCTTCCTCAGAAGCTATTCCGCTCTCATTCTCAATCGAAACGTGTTCCTCGTTCGTTGATTTATCAGCATCGTAGGTGAGCAATAGGCCATTTTGAATCCCTGATTCCGTATCGTTACTTTCAACGGCGTCCAACCCGTCACCTTTGAACCCACGACCCACTTCGTTCCGCTCATCAGACTTCGCGTTATCGCGTACAACGTCGTGGACGTCGTTCAGAGAATCCTTTAATTCGGTTTCGTTCGTGTTTCGTTCCGTAGAAGGAGACGTTTCCATCAAAGGTTTGTCGGTGATCACATCTTCAACGTGATCTTCGAAAGGATTGGGCACGTCCTGCTCGTCCTTGTCCAATCTAGGCGCCTTCTTCACTTCCTTTTCCTTCTGGACATCCGGCAAGAAGGGGGACATATCGTCCGCGTGCTTGTCATAAGCCGAGTCAAATTTCTCCGTGGCGTGTTCGACCGTGTTCTCAGGGAACATTGCTGGATGCAGGGGATGGTTGGTCGAATGGTCCAAATTTTCCTCATAGCGAACAGAGTCGCTTAAAGAAACCGCGTTCTCGTCTGGACGTACGGTGGATCGATGGAGAGTCGTCTCAACAACTTCTGTAGAGGATGGAATTTTACTTCTTGGCGAATCTTGGTTAGGGGTGTTTGTCGACGATCCATTCGATGAGGATTGGACGCTTTGTTCGGGAATCAATTGTGGAATAATTGCATGAGGATCGTGAACTTCCGTGGTGTGCTCCGTTTTTGGTATCAGCATAATGTGCTCTTCCGTGTCGTTTATCAGTGGTTCTATCAGAGGTTCCACGTTATGGCCGAAATTCTTTGGCAATTTGGGGAAGACTGTCGTTGGCATGTGCTCAATAACGTTGGTCTCATTCGTCTCACGAGGAGGTGATTCAGGATCCATAATGGATTCATTTGACGATGTATTCTGAGATTTAGACTCTTTATCCATTTCTGTGCTATTGATCTCTGTAACGGGATTCGATTCAGTTGTGCTTTCCGATTTAGTGTCTGTCACTGTGTTAGGGAAGGTTATCTCAGAATTAGTGGTGGATTCTATTTCAGGAACTAAAGATTGAGGATTAGTGGATGAAGTGGAAGAACTAGATTCTGAAGAGGAGTTCATCGTTTCGTCATTGTTTATGCTCGTTGTAGTGTATATAGTTGTTTCATCTTGTGGCATGTTGGTTGTTTCAGTGACTTGCTCGTTTTTGTCCATTTCTATAGGGCTTGAAGTTGTTACCTTTTCTTCATTGTCTTTCATTATCATAGTTGTGTCTACAACTGCGACACTTGATTCCGAATGATCGTCAGAAAACGAATGATTCGACGTCATAGTCTCTTCGATATCAGGGATGAGAGGTATCACTGGCAAAGATTCATCATTGCTTGCCATTTCATTATTTGGTAATGTAGTTTCACTAAGCATCATTGGCGTTGTAGATTCTGACTCCATGTTTGTAGGAACATTGGGTGTATTTGCTGTTTCTTTTTCAACCATAGATGATTCTGTGAAAGAGGCTGATTCGTTAATTGATTCAGAAGATTCTTTATTCACAATTACAGATTCGGTAGAAGATTCAGTTTTATCAATAGATGTCTTCTCGGTAGAATCTTTTGGCACTATAGTGTTTTGCATTTCGGTAGAATGTTCAATAATAGGAGGCATATTTTCACGAGATTTTTCATCATTGGATAATTCTGGTTCGATGGGTGATAATTCGTGTTCGGTAGAAGAATCTTCTTCTCCGGATGTTTCAGGCCTAACAGTGAAATGAAGAGGTAATTCTGGATGTTCGGTTGCAGTTAATTTTGTTGATAATTCACTAGCAAGATTTGCTTCAGTAATCGGTTCAGGTTCAGCAGAAGGTTCTACTTCAGTAGACGGTTGTAATTCTCCAGTAGGTTCAGGTTTATTAGATTCAGTAGTTTGTGGTTCCATGGAACTGACTAGTTCGGTATTAATCATTTTTGTGGAAGATTCTGGAAATTCTAATTCATTAGGAGACTTTGGTTCAGCAGATGGTTCAGGCTCAGCAGAGGATTCAGGCTCAGCAGAAGGTTCTGGCTCAGCAGAAGGTTCTGGCTCAGCAGACGGTTCAGGTTCAGCAGACGGTTCAGGCTCAGCAGAGGGTTCTGGCTCAGCAGAGGGTTCTGGCTCAGCAGACGGTTCAGGCTCAGCAGAGGGTTCTGGCTCAGCAGACGGTTCTGGCTCAGCAGAAGGTTCTGGCTCAGCAGACGGTTCTGGCTCAGCAGACGGTTCTGGCTCAGCAGACGGTTCTGGCTCAGCAGAAGGTTCAGGTTCAGCAGACGGTTCAGGCTCAGCAGAGGGTTCAGGCTCAGCAGAGGGTTCTGGCTCAGCAGATGGTTCAGGCTCAGCAGAAGGTTCGGGTTCAGCAGACGGTTCAGGCTCAGCAGAAGGTTCGGGTTCAGCAAAAGATTCAGAACTGGATTCCATTTCAGGTTTATGTTCAGCAGTCGAGAAGCTTGAATAATCATACGTCAAATGATCGTGTTCCGAATGATCATGCATCGAGTGTTCATGTTCCGAATGATCGTGCATGGAATGATCGTGCATCGAATGTTCATACGTCGAATAATCATGCATCGAATGATCATGCTTCGAATGATCATGCTTCGAATGATCGTGCATCCAATGTATCGAATCAGATTCGTCATTGAACACACGATTCTCTTCCGTCGTGGCCGTCTGCGTGGGTTCCGGTTCTGCTGAAGAATGTGGATATACGTGAAATTCGTGTTCGTTATCTTGTGGCGCGTGTCCATTGTGCGTTGTTTCCGTGCTGAAGTCCAAATGATCCCAATTGTCGGGTCTCCTCGGTTCAAACACCGACCCAGGTCCTCTGCTTCTTCCCTGCACGTAATCGTGCACCACTTCCGTATTGGTCTCCGGCACCTCGTCGTCCATTTCCACGTTGCTCAAGTCATTCTCATTGACGCAACTCTTTCCATCACTGGCCAACATCTTTCCAACTCTGCTGCAGAAGCAAACGAACAGACCCTTCGAGTAATCGTAACTGCACCCTTCTGAACACCCAAGGCTCCCGCTCTGACAATCGTCGACCAACTTGGTCACCTTTAAACTGTTCAAATGATAGTGTCCAATCATGTTGCCACTTTTCTGCAACGTTTTCTCGATCATCTGTTGCGTTTCTTCGGGGATGGAACGCGGTGGATAACTTATCCTAAACTTCACTTCGCCGTCCCTGTTTATGTCATACACTTTGACGATCGTTTCGTTATCCATTGGCTGCCTCAACATGCTCCTCAAGTGTTCTTCTATCTCCGTGCTCACTTGTCTGTACACTCTCGACTTCGGATCGCTTAGATCGTTGTCCCATTGGAACTCGTCTAATTTTAGCACACCGTCCAAGGCGCTTGGGACCGTGTTGTACAGAGTTTCGTCGGTCGTAGGCCAGGATGGGAACGTTGAAGTCGCGGGTGGCGGACTCGGCGGAGGATTCTTCATGTATTCTTGACTCTCGGCCGTTCGCACGTCGCCAAATTGCCGCGAATTCTGCTGAAGATTCTCCAGAGGTTCGGAAGTCTCTTGCGTCAAGATTATTCCAGCTAGGACAGAATCGATCGATTAATTTTAAAGGTTAATTTTTAAACTATCGAAATTCTTACTACTCGATATCGATACTCAGTCAGCATATTAAACACAAATCGTCGAAATTAGGAATTTAAAACGGAATCGCGAGAGACACTTACTCGCCGCCAAAATGGCGATGATGACAGCTATCAACACGACCGCCAAGCAACATCCCCAACAGGCCATTCTTCTCCAATACGAGCTCCTCGATCTCTTATCCTTCGTTACGTAAAGTTTCTCGCCCCTGTAACACAATTTCACCCGTAATTAACAACGATGACCACGAACTATCTCGATTCACCCCCATCCTGGACCCAAAGTAAGCGTATTTTGTACAGCACTGTGCTTTGCCAATGTTTCGAGACCTTCTTTCAGCGATCAAATAGGATTAGAAGCTTCCCTAAACGAACAGACACCATATCCTGAAACGACTTCGTCGCGATTAATCGATCTCCTTAATCGAACAAAAAAAAAATTTCTTCCGCTCATTGTTTCTTTTTTATTCCTCTCGTTTTCGAATTTAAAACTCTCGATATATATATGTATACATATACATATATATATATATAT